AAACCCAGTGGAATTCAGGTTAAGAGCCAGCGCAGTCTCAGTGCCAAGTTCATTGATGGCATTGAGCATCCACCGGGAAGTATAACTAGGCAGAATGCTATGTTTGCCTTTTTGTGCATGTGAATGTGTGCGTGACCTTCTAAATATTGAGTAATGTGAACAGATCCCTGAACAGAGTCTCTGATAGGAATCAAAACAGTAAAACATTTATAGTCCTGAAGTGTTGGTGGGAAGAGACATTATTCGTTGACAGAGGTAAACTTCCTATTTTCCAAGCAATTTTTAAAAGTGGAACCGGATTTAAATAAATAAATACATTTATGCACATTGGGGACACAAAGACTTATAGTGTGTAGAAGAAGAAAAAATGCATCGTTTTGGTTCTGTTCTCATCCCTACAGCATGTAAACCTAATTCAAAGTTAACTTTCAGAGACTTTCTTTGGGATTATCAGTATCCTTCAGTAAATCCATCATATTCTGCATGTCTCACAAACCAAAGTGAGGTGTGCAAAGGTGCCCCCCAGGAGCTGAAATGTCTGACTCAAAGCATGTTATGTAAAAGTCGTGACTGATTATAATTAAATTGCCATGGAGACAGAAAGAGCAAATTTAAAGTTTTGTGATAATACTAGAGTTAACTTTTCTGAACTGTCATGATTCAGGTTCTGTCTGTCCATGCTGAGCCTAATCATTAATTCTGTTCACCTGCCAGGCCTGATTGCCTTCCTGTTCCACCTGGTCCCCGCCCTACTTAAACACCACTCAGTCTCGGCCGCCTTGCCAGATTATCGACAGCCACGAGCCAGTAGTAATCCAGCGTTTTTCTTCAAAGCCTCCTGTGTTGCCTGACCCCTTTCTGTCCACGGATTGACCCCCCTTGCCAAGCCCTTGTCGGATCCCGGCTATTCTGGATTTCTGGACCCTGACCCAAGCCTGCCTCACGACCACCGAGTATCGCCTGCCCCTCAAGCTAAGTTGCTCTCTCTGCCTTCCCGTGTATGACCCTTGCCTGATCTTCGTCTTCATCCCTGTGAGCTACTAACTGGATCTCCTGGAGGAGAGTATCTTCAGTGACTGAATCTTTTATTAAACTTGTTTTTTTTTCTTCTTAACTCCTGTGTGTGGTTGAATTTCCGGGTCCCCACCGAGTGTCCTCACATGAACATAATTTTTCTTCAGTTCATCATACAAAACTTGACTGAACAAAAGCTATTTTTTTCTATTTTGTACTTACAATTAAAGTTGTAAGTCGTGATTTTTGTATGGGTGGGTGGGTGATTATTTAGTTCTCTCTGTTTACCAGCACAGAGAACTAAAGAAGTTTCTGTGTGTAGTGCTTTATGTTCTTAGGCAGTGCTTGACTTTTTCACTATGTTGAGAATTTGCTTTCTTTTTTTCTTTTTTTTACACCACTGTGCTCTTTGTCACTTTGATTTGATTTCTCTCAGGACTCAGCTGCACTGAACAAAATATGACTGTTACAACCTCTTTGGGACAATGAGCTTATGCACCGGGAACTGTGCATATTTCTGTTAGAATGGAGACAAGGGGCAAGATTAAGTTACAGCTTTTGTGCAGACTAAACTGCATTAGAATTTAATAAAGACGAGTTACTGGTGAGTCAGGACTAGAGAAGGCATAAGCTGAGGCTTTGCTCTTACTCCATTTTACTGTATGTTCATAAGGGTCCCAAAAATACCATTTTGCCCTGGTATTCATCATAACAATGCTGCTCATGTAATGTCCTTGATTATGTTGGAAGTCACAGTAGTCTGTACACTGGTCCACTGCAGGTGTCATGTTTTGAATATAATTCATTTAGTCAAAACCGAACTTCATGAGACTGAAATCAGTGAAGTGCTTCACACAGCACAGGCAGGGTTTGTAATAATCAACATCGCTTCCAAATAAGGTTGCTACTCTGATTGTCTGGAGGAGCAAATCGGATGCAAATCAGCCTCTAAATTCTCCCATGTGTCCCCCTGCACACAAGAGCACTTTTCTTAATGGAGATTAAACCAGGAAACAGCCACTGCCCTGAGGCTTTGCTGAAAGGGAGCTGCATGTGAGCCCAGACATGAGAAGCTGGAATGAAGCATAACACATTATGGACATTTTTGATAGAATAAACACAATGAACAACTAAATTTACATCATATTGATCAGTTCCTAACAGTATTGGAGATCTGATTGGATTTAATAATCCCAAAGTGGTTGTTGACATAGGAGGCTGACCACGCACCTTCCCACTGGATGATTTTTTTTTTCTTTTTTTGCTGCAATCGAGTG